TTTTTGAAGGGGTCTATAAGAGATCTATAAGGGTACTATCATATAGGGGCCGTAATAATTAGACTAGGGTTTTGGGACCCATCCCACTACAGTTATAATAAGGAACCCCCAAAATTGTGTAAGTAATTTGTGAGGCCCCTATATCAGGCTTCCAGACAAGATAGAAGCCCCAGTTGAAGTTCTTGCACACCTATGCACGGCACAGAGGCATACAAGTGCTTGTTTAAAGATTCGTTACATAGCCTGGGCATTTGGGTCCAATCTGACATTCATGGATCAAATTCCGCTTGGAAGAGGTTTGTGCCCTAACCCCTGAGTTCTCTTGCTTGCTTAAGCAAAGGATCCTACAGATTAAAGGATGGTAACCAAAGAAGGAGCCAGTGGTACAGTAAAGCCATAGGTAAGACGGTAGGTGGCAACTGCGGCACAACAAGCGCAAGAAGGTCACGAAGTGCGGAGAGGAGAGGCGTCATCTTGGTTGGGCGATAAGTGTAAACGACTCGCCACTTGAGAAGCAGAGTATCACAGACCTCCAGGGTAGGGGGACGTTCTGCAATTTGAGCAGTCAGACGTCAATGGTTCACCCTGTAGTTCCAAGACCCCAGTAAGCCTTACACCATTATCTATAGTCACTATAGTCTCCATTGTAGTTCCTTGTTTACGTCACTTTATAAGATCCTTATTATATAATCTTAGCTTAACCAAAAAAGGAGCTACAATGGAGACTATAGGTATCTTCTAAACCCTCCAGTGCCCATGACCCAGGAGCCCACCGTATGGGTTATTGGGCTTCTAGGGCAACGAGGTGTCCCACAGTCTGGCCCGTGACGATGAGCGTTTAGCGATGTGGGAATTTGGGGCTTAGGGGTGACTGAGGGTCCATGTCCGCAAATAAGACACATTGTGGCCCGAAACTACCTACAAAAAGGGATTACTGTAAGGACTATTTCGTTACGTGGACCTTAGGGGGTTTAGCTTCGAGGAATACGGCTTTAGGGCTCAGGGACTAAAGGGTTCTTGGTTGGGCTATTTACACCCTAACGCCACCCCCCTAAACGGATCGTGGGACTTGGTAACCAGTGCCATCATGAATACTGTAGCTACTTACAGCCTCCATTGTTCTTTTTTTTGGGTTACCTTACCGGATCCTAACTTTAATATTGGTTTCGGCTAAGTAAATTTTGGAACTACAATGGAGACTGTAGGTATACTCATAACTGCTCGACACAGCTTGAAAAACGAGGTACGAGAAGATTTGGCAGTTGAACACGGAATGGTCTCCGGAGCTCACTGAGGAGGAGGGCTGCTCTGGCTGAGGGACAAACCCAGAGACTCCAAAACCCCTTAATTAAGGAATATACCTTAAATTATAGTAGGATCCCAAATATGATTTAAGAATACTCCTTACTTAAGGGATATTGGAGTCTCTGGGAAAGGGCCTTAAGTGAATCCATAATCCGATTGCGAAAGGGTCTCCGGTAGTCTGCTTTGTGAGAGTTTTAGCTTTTTAATCACTTTAGCTGGTTTGGGGATACTTATAGGGTAGTTTGGGGTCTAAATATGTGCCAATAACAATACTTGGACCCTTTGGGAATCAGTGTAAGGAATACGCCGAATTCGAGGGTTGAAGCCCCAAGCCCTGAACCATGGCGCGGAATACACCGTGATTCCCGGTTACACTTCCAGGTCCTAAACCCAGAGACTCCAAAACCCCTTACTTAAGGAATATACCTTAAAATATAGCAGGATCCCTAATATGATTTAAGGAATGTTCCTTAATTCAGGGATATTAGAGTCTCTGGGAACCCCGACCTTAAACCGCAAACCCTAAACCGTGATCCCTCAAAAATATCACAGCCTATTTCATGGTTTGTAGGTTCAGAGTTTGCAGGGTTTATGGGGTTTAGGGTTTGGTCAGGATTCAGGGGGTTGTAGGGTTCATAAGTTTATAGGGTTTCTGAGTTTATAGGGTTCAGAGTGAATAGGTTAAGAGGTTGGAGATGAGAGTTTCGGGTGTCTGTTTAGGGTTTGGGTTTACACGGTTTCGGGAATGGGGGTGCGAAGAATTAGCAGGAATGTCACCTATCATAGTTTATTTTTTACATTGTTTTTCATAGTACCTTGGTTTAGGCTTTGGACTCTCGTCAAAGCCAAAACACGTTTACGAACATGTGTCAACATTGCATCCTTGCAGACCGCACCCACAACAGCCTTCAACGTCCACCTTTTTAGAGAGCCACGGTGAGAGTTGAGGGTTCAGGGATACCTCTTCAAATTATGAAAGCCCTCACCATCACGTACGTAGTCTCTAAACCCGAACAGCCCCAAACATCCCGAAGACCCTAACCCTCTAAAGCCTGTAACCCCGTCAAAACCACCAAACCCTACACATCCTGAAACCTTAAAACCTCCAACCCTGAACCCTTAGAGGGGACTCGATGGGAGGGTTGGGTCTAGCATGTGCAAAAAAGCCCTAAACCTTGCTACAGCCCGAAATGGAGCGGAAACCCCAAACCTTGCCAGAACCCGAAAAGGACATCCGTTCTGGGGAGCGCCTGGAGTTTTACACTTCTAACCAGGATCTGGCAGTGAGCTCAGGGAGTGCCCAGAGACTCCAATATCCCTTAATTAAGGAATATTCTTTAGATCATATTAGGGTCCTATGAAAATTTAAGCAATATTCCTTAATGAAGGGATATTGGAGTCTCTGAGTGGCAGAGCTTTGCGGTTTTTTCGGATTTTCGGCTGCTTAGGGATTTAGAGTGTTAGGGCTTTTTGGGTTTTAGGGCGTTCAGGGATTTGGGGTTTTAGGGTTTTGGGGCGTTTTAGGGCGTCTAGGTGTTTAGGGAGTTTGGGGTTTTAGTGTTTAGGTTTTAGGGGTTGATTTGGGGCCTAGTGTATTAGTAGTGTTATTTTTTGATTTTCGCGGGCCTCATGAAGGGCTATGTAAGGTCAACCAGAGGCCAAGAGATAAGCTACAGAGTTGTAGGTGTTTTTTTGCTTTGGGTCTGTACCCCAAGACACCCATATTAAATATTTGGGGAGACTCCAATATCCCGGAAAAAGACTATACCGTAAATCGTAGTAGGATCCCCGAAATGATTTAAGGTATATTCCTTGATTATAAGCCTTCGGTCCCAAAGTCAATGCTTTATAAAGCTCGGGCCTACAGTGGAAGGGTGGAGCCTATCCTGGAGGATGCGAAGGTCGCGGAGAGCTAAAGAACCCTAAAAGAAAGCGCCGGATTCACCCGGAGAGTCCCCTCAGGCTGATGCATACATGTGTGTGTGAGTGTGTGTGAGTGTGTGCGTGTGTGTGTGTGCGTGTGCGTGCGTGTGTTTTGGTCGTCGTTCCGTGTTGTATTGCTTTGACGCATAATATAGAGGCCTTAATAATTACCTGTACTATTTCGGGGGTTCCTCATTACAATCATATTATAATGGCCCCCCCAAACCCTATTCTAATAATTCAGGCCCCTCTACTAAATCCTTATAGTAGCCCTTATAGTAACCCTTAGAGACTCCTTTTAAAGGAACCCTATGACTAGAAGGCTCCTACGGCCCCAGTCCTGCTTGAAGTGCAGACGGGTTTCGTTCTGATGCCACCGTGCGCCTGGACACCTCCCCTGAGCCTCTGAAACCCCGATAATTAGGGACCCCACAAAGGACATAAGCATAAGCATGTTATGGGGATATCCCTCCGTATTGGCCTTCATGAGAAGGGGTATCCTGATCCATCTTTTTGCTTATGTGCTTTTGGTGGCCCTAGATAAGACGCAGCATCCTCTTTCTTCGGCCTCTTCGGCTCAAAAGACAGTAGGGTGCAGGCATAGCCAGTAATGGCTTTTCCTGCAAAGCCGCTTTGGGGTTTATCAGCTGAACAGGTGAATTGAAGCGAAGAAGGCTAGATGTAAATTTAGGTACAGGAGTACTGCTTAGCTCCTTAGAGTTTTCACGTTTGCTGCCCCTTTCCCTCGAAGCATCGGCGGGGATCCTAGCAGTGGGCAGCCAGGAAGAACTCAATTGCTGAGTTTCAGTCTTTCATTGTGTTACATGGTGCATACATATACATATATATCAGATAGATATTACAGTTTATCACCCTTCGTGACCTGTCATGATAGTATAAGACGAGCCAAGTAAGACACGACCGCTACGATGGGTCTTCCTACGCCTTGCATCTCGGGGTGTAAGTACGATTTAGGTTTAGGGTTTAGGGGTTCAGGGTTTACCTGTAGTCTCCATTGCAGCTCCTTTTTTTGGTTGACCAAAATCTCTCTATTATAGGATCCTAACCATAAAACTGGTTAACCAAAAAAAGGAACTACAATGGAGACTCTAGGTAGGTTTCGTTGTACCCAGGAGTTCCTGGTTGTAGTTCACTGTTCAGAATATTCCCCAAAGCCCTATTCCATAGTGGAGCTCTTCAGCCCTTTCTCAACGTACCTGTCTGCTTCCTACATGTTTCAGACCAAGGCATGTGCGCACCCACATACACACATGCATAGGGGCACGCGCACATGCATACGTATTTACATACATACGTGCATACACACGCACCGACACATGCATATGCACGTGTATCTATAAATATATATATATATATATATATATATACACACACAGACATTGTTGACATGTACAGTCTTGCATAGGCCCTACCTGACCTGGGTTTTGGCTCAAGTAAAATAGCTGCCCTGCGCGCTTTTGTGCTCCATAGGTTTTGTGCATGGTAGCGGAGCGCTTTTACGGTTCACTGGACCTGGGAAGTGTGCTGATTACGCTGCTCTGCGTGTTCTTGGGTTGGTCGGTCCACTCGGCTGTTTCGGCCGGGCGAGACCGAGCCCTCGAACGGAGGAGACGCCAGGCCGCCGAAGAGCGGTGGGCCAAGCTGGTGCGTAAAGCACGCGGCGTGAGAAAGCAGCAGCGGTACTTTGCCTTTCTGGGCCACCTGCTGCAGGAGCACCCTTTGAGCCAGGCTTTTAGAAGGCGACTGGCCAGATGTCTGTGACGGCCGAGGCTGTTGCAGCAGAGCTGCAGGCTCTGAGGAACGAGCTGCTGGAAAGCAGGCGCAGGGAGGACGAGCTGAACAACCGGGTGCAGGCGTTGCAGACCGGTGGGCATGGGCTTCAGGAGGCGATGGCTGCACTGGCAGCCGTGCAAAGGGAGACCTTGGAGAGGGCCCGTGCCAGGGAAGAAAAGGTGACCCTTGTGGACAACAAGGGCTTGGCGAAGCCCGACAAGTTCGGGCGCCATGGAAGCGAAGGAAGCTTTCTACAATGGAAGGTGCGGCTGGAGACCTTCATCCTGAGTGTGCACAAGGACCTCGAGCAGCCGCTGGCGTACGCAGAGGACTGCGATGAGCAGCTTACGGCAACGAAGCTGAAGGCTTTGTTCGGCCCGACCACGCCGGCGGTGGAACACATACCGGGCCTCGAGGAGAAGGATGCACAACTGCACGCGGTGTTGCAGACGCTTTGTGAGGGCGAGGCCTTCACGCTGGTGAGGAGCGCCGGCCGGGGAGCCGGGCTTGAGGCGTGGAGGAAGCTCCACCGGCGGTACGACCCGAGTACCGGAGGGCGCCGGCGAGCGCTCTTGAGGTCGGTGCTTGCACCGCAAAAGTGCCAGCGCATCGAGGACCTCTCTTCTGCGATAGAGCTTTGGGAGGAGGCGGTGCGCCAGTTTGAGGCACGGCGGCGCCCAGATGGAACAAGGGCGCAGCTGGATGAAGATATAAAGGTGGCTGTGCTGGAGGCCATGTGCCCGAGCGACCTGGAGAAACACCTCCAGCTGTCGCGCCACCGGCTGACCACGTACGAGGAGGTCCGGGGCGAGTTGGCCAGCTACTTGGAGACGAGGCTTGGAGCAAAGGTGCAGCTGAGCCTGCCCGGTGCGTCGAAGGACGACCAAGGACCTGCCCCAATGGACGTCGGTGCCTTTGACAAGGGCAAGGGCAAGAAAGGAAAAGACAAAGGAAAAGGAAAAGGCGGAAAGGCAGCCGGGGGCAAGCAAAAGGAAACCCGCGAGTGCCACAACTGCGGGAAGGTGGGCCACTTGGCGGCGAACTGTTGGGCGCCAAAGAAAGAGAAGAAAGGGAAAGGCGAGCCACACAAGAAGAAGGAAGGAAAAGGAAAGGACAAGAAGGGAAAAGGAAAAGGAGGAAAGAACCTCCACAACGTGGAGGAAGCCGAGCCAGAGGAGGAAAGCGAGGAGCCGGAGGCGAACTTCCTCGCGATCGCCGGGCTCACCGAGGTCTCGCTTAGCGAAAGCGAGGACGAAGGCCTCCATGACACGAGTCGGCCTTATAGGCCGGCCGGTGTCAAGGGGGCCACGGTGAAGCAAGAGCCGGGCGAAAGCAGCCACGAGCCCAAGGCTGCGGAGAGCTTGGAACAGGGACCTGGTGAAGGGGCGAGTGGAGCTTCTAGTTCCGCGGGCCCCGGCCCCGCAAGGGAGCCAAAGGAGGAAATGAAAGAAGAAGAGGAAGAGATGAAAGAAGAAGAAGAAGAAAGCAGCGAGAGCAGCAGCAGCTACGTAGAAGTGCTGCTTTACCCGGGCGACCCGGGCTACGACAGCCTGGGGGAAGGCGGCGCCACCGACAGCGACGAGGAGTACATGGAGGTGTGCGTGGAACCCTGTGGGTACTGCTACTTCGAGGAGTGCGACCAGCGGCACGACGATGAGTTTCGGCATGTGTGCCCCACGTGCCGACTTGCCAAAATGAGCGCGGACCACAAGTCGAAGGTGCTGCTGTGGACCCCCTTGGAGGCTTTTGAGTTTTCGGTGGACAAGACCATCTGTGTGGTCAAGGGCCTCAGCTTGGAGCAGTTCCGGGAGCTGACAGAGGAGCAAAAGGGGGCCTACAGGGACGCCGTGGACCCGGAGCAGGTGAAGCGCATCAACCAGGATGATGTGCTGAAGGGCCTCTCGCGCTTTCGGGAGGCTGAGAGGAAAAGCTTCTTCAAGAAGGCCGGCCACCCGCAGGAGGACCCGAGTCAGGCCAGTGGCCAGGCCGGGGTCCAGGGTGAGCAGGCCAGTGGGTCTAAGGACCTGCCAGCGCGGCCGAGCGGCGCGGCGTCGGGAACCCTGATGCACCGGACCATCGAGATGCTCGAGATCACGAACCTGGCGGCCGAGAAGCGGGAGAAGGCGCAGCTGCTAGAAATGGAAGAGGACCCCGAGGAGGTGCAGCGCCTAGAGACCAGGATTCGGGAGATCGACGCGGAGGTGAAGGTGCTGAAGGAGAGGACAAAAGCCGCGGACCGCGAGGCAAGCAAGAAGCCACAGCTCACGGCCGAGACCGTGCTGGACCAGACCTGGCATGACGCCAGGTACCACAAGGCCGTGGCAGCGGGAGTGAGCCACAGCCAGGCGTGGCACGAGGAAAAGAAGAGAAGGAAGGCTGCCCTACACCGGCAGCAGGGCACGGCGGACCGTGCAAAGGAGCGTTTGGAGAACGAGCGCGCGTGGCATCGGGAGTTTGACTCCAGACCGGTGAAGGAAGAGGAGTACCACGACGAGGCGGCCCCTGGGTTGGAAACGGAAGCCGTGGAAGAGACAGACCAGGGAAGGCTGCGGGTGCTCACCGGGAGCGCGAGGCAGGTGAAACGCGGAGAGCTGCGCAAAGGTGAGGAGGCTACCTTCGTGGCCTCGGCAAGGACCTACCGGAAGCTCAGCCAGGCGGAGGTGAGCCGCTTCAAGACGGAGACCAAGGAAGACGAGCGGAAGGTCATGGAACGCAAGCGCGTGGACCTGCAGAAGAAGCGCGTGCGGGAAATGACCGAGGAAAAGAAGGACGCGAGAAAGAAAAGAGTAAAGGCGGCGAGCCGGAGGAAGGAGGCTTGCCGAGACCTCCTGTGGTTCGGGGAGTGCACCCGAGCGCGGTGCCCTTTTGGGCACGACCCGGAGCTGGTGAAGAAGGCGAAGTTTTCGGTGTGCTCGGAGTTCAGCCGCGGGGTGTGCCAGAGGAAACAGTGCCGCTTCGTGCACGACGAGCTGGAGCGCGAGAAGTACCAGCTGTTGCGGCGGCACCGGCAGAGGCGGCAAGGTGCGAGTGGGACCTCTGGTTCCACCGGCATCGTGCTGCGCGAGGCGCCGAAGCGGGAGCGCACGAAGGAAGAGCCGTTGGACCTAGCGCACCTTAGTGGGGCGTGTGAGGAGGAAAGCTGGGACGGCTACAAGAAGGTGACGGTGAACTTCGACACGGGGGCGGCCATTTCGGCCATACCCGTGGAGGTGGCAAGGGCCGCCACGAAGAAGACCGCGGCAAGCGAGAGGTGCTATCGCACCGCAAGCGGCGAGGTGATCGAGGACCAGGGTGGAGCCTTGGTTCAGGGCTACGACGCTGCAGGCGTCGGGCGCAAGATCGAGGGCCGCGTCACCGACGTACACCGCATGCTGGCTTCGGGCGCAGCTGTGGGGAAGCACAACCACGTGCTGCTGATGGGCAGCAAAGGGTACGTGATGCCCAAAGGCGGCAAGATCGCCAAGGCGCTGGAGAAGACGTTTCGGGAGACCGCTGAGGCGGGGCACGGCAAGGACGTGCTGGAAATGGAAGAGCGCCGGGGCATCTACGTGTTTGACCTGTGGGTCAAGGAGAGCAAGGAGAAGGACTGTGCGACAGTCGGCGCCCTCGGCGAGGGCGCAAGCGAGGAGGCAAACAGCCGGCAGGCGCGCAAGCCGTAAGGCCGGCGGTAGAAAGGCGAGCGCGAGGCAAAGGGCCGAGCCGGACCATTGGTCCGGCCGTGCCCAAGGCAGGCGCGAGTGGGTCGAGTCGGGCCAGGGGCCCGGCCGAACCCGAGGCGGCAGGGGCGAGCCAGGCCATTGGCCAGGCCGTCCCCGGTGCGGCAGGAGGTGAAGGTGAAGGTGTGGGGGCGAGTCGGTCCGATGGACCGGCCGACCCCGAGGGGGAAGGAAGCGGTGAACAGCGAAGGGCACGAGTGCCCCGGGCGCCCACGGCGCCCACGAGAGCTGAAGTGGAAGAGCACGAGGCCACGGGCCACGTGATCCATAGAAGCTGGTGTCCCCACTGCGTGCGGGCACGAGGCGACTTGGAGAGACACCCGAGGGTGAAAGAAGAGGACCGCAGTATCCCCACGATCTCCTTCGACTACTTCTTCTTTTCGGAGGAGGGACAGCCACACCTACAAGTGAAGGATGATTTTACGAAGATGATGTGGTCGAGCGCCATCCCTGCGAAGGGCGCCGACCCGTTTGCGGCAAACTTTGTTGCTGCGTGTGTTGGCGAAACGGGGTATCGGAAGATTATCCTGAAATCGGACAACGAGGCATCTTTGAAGGCGCTCAAGGAGCTTGCGAAGCAAAGCATACAGGGCGTTGAGGTGCTGCCTGAGGAGTCGAAGACTGGAGACTCTAGGGCAAATGGCCGGGTCGAGGCTTCGGTCAAGGAGACAAAGCGGGAGGTTCGGGCCTTGCTGTCTGACCTCCGATCGAGAATAAAGAAAGAGAAGCTTGCACGACAACCACCCCATGATGGCGTGGGTGAGCAGACACTCCGACTTTCTTATCTCGAGGTATAGGATTGGCCAGGACGGCCGCACAGCTTACGAGAGGCTGAAGGGCAAGGCTTGGAGGCTGCCCTGTGTGTGTTTTGGAGAGCGGGTCTGGTTCAGACCGCTGGCTGCGTACGCGAAGAAGCACCTGAGCAAGGGCACGGACCCAAAGGTGCTGGCAGGACACTACGTGGGAACCCATGCGCGCAACGGCGACGCCTTGGTGATGACCACGCAGGGAGTTCTAAGGGGTGGCTCTCTCAGGAGGATGTCGCCCGAGGAACGATGGAACGACGACGAGTTCGACAAGTTGCAAGGGGTGCCCTGGAAACCCATGGCATCCGAGGAGAGCAGGCGCACGGAGGCGCCGGTGAAGGTGGATCTGCCAGAAATGGTGGGCCCAACAGAGGTTGCTACGAGGGCCTCTGGAGCAAGGAACCTCTACGTGATGAGGTCGGACGTGGAAAACGATCCAACGCCTGGGTGTCCAGGCTGCGAGGCAATCATGCTGGATTTGCCCGCGGTGACTCACAACCAGTTTTGCCGTGGAAGAATCCAGGAGAAATTGTCTAAGACGCCAGAGGGGAAGGCGCGCGTGGAACGCGCCATGAAGCGGAAGAGTGCAGCCATGGACGGCCGCCCTGACGCACAGGAGAGCGAGACACAGGCCGCTACGGCGCTAGGTGCGCCGGAGGATGCGGCTGGGAGTGAGAAGCGGAAGCAGGAAGGAGCTGCAGAAGAAGCTGCAGACAAGAAGGGCCGGGTGGAGGCCAAAGGCACTAAGCGGCAAGGGGTGGACCCTGAAGACCTCTACTGGGAGGACCAACTGGAGGAGCCACAGGTTGTGGAGGTCCAGCCTTCCAGCGGGTCTGCCGCTGAAGGGTCTTCGCTCAGCCACTCAGCGTTTTGGAGCCCAGTGGTGCCTGGAGCACCTGCTGGAGGACCGAGTCAGGCCGGTGGCCAGGCCGAATCCGGGGGAGAGCAGGCACAGCAGGGAGACGATGCTATGCCTGATGCTGGCCTTCTGGAGCTAGCACAGCTGGTCGTGGACGATCCTGGTGACAGTGATTTGTGTGAGGTTGCCGGGCTTCTGAAGAGCCTGGGCAAGCGAGGGCCTGAAGAGGCCACTGGGCGACTGGCGGAGGTCCACAACAAGCTGGGACTTGAAGTCGGGTTTTCCTTGGACCTCGAAGCGCCGAAGGAAGGAGGAGAACGGTGGGACCTTAGCAAAGGTCAAGAGGCCGAGTGTTTAAAGGCCAAGCTGTGTACCGAGAAGCCGTTGCTTCTCGTAGGGTCACTTCCTGTGGGACCCTTTTCTCCTGCGGCTACACTGTGCAAGAAGAGTGCCAAGCCGCAAAAGCAACTGGCGGAGGAGGGGAGAGCCCAACTTCGCAACCAGGTGGAGTGTTTTAAGGAGCAGCACGCGAGCGGGCGGTATTTTCTCTACGAGCACCCGCGCGGCTGCGGTGGCTGGGAAGAGCCAAGTTTTCGGGACCTGCGACTGCACGAAGGGGTGCAGGTGGTGGAAGGTCCTGTGTGCAAGTGGCGCTTGGGCGCCAGCTACGTGAAGCGTGTGACAAGGTGGGTTACCAACTCGGCCATTTTGGCCGCGAGGTTGAAGGCACAGTGCGTGCAACCGATGCAGCGGAATCTGCAGATCGTTGAGGGTACAGCGTGTGAGCCTGGAAAGTACCCGGCACCCTTGGCGAAGGCCATCCTTACAGGCCTCAAGGGTGTTCTGTTGGAGACGGGCGAGCTGAGCGCGGTCACTGCGCACACAGCCGGCCCGGTGCCAGACGAGCCAGAGCTCGAGGTGGACTGGTCCCAGTATGTACCCACGGGTGACAGGGTGTATTGGGATACCATCACGGGCGCACAGCTGGATGCGGATCACGTCGAGCGTGCCCGTGCAGAGGAACTGCAATGGGTGCGGAAACAGGAGGTGTACCGCAAGGTCCGGTTGGAGCAATGTTATGAGGACACTGGACGTGCCCCCATTACGTTGAAATGGCTCGACCGAAACAAAGGAGACGCAAGCAATCCCAACTATCGAAGCAGACTTGTGGTAAGAGAGGTGAAGAAATCGTCTCGGACGGATGACTTGCCGGAGCACGAACTTTTCAGTGCTATGCCGCCCCTGGAGGCACTGAAACTGTTATGCTCCATTCTCGTATCACAGAAAGTGAGTGCACAGGGTAAACCCCTGAAACTCAAACTGTTCGATATATCCCGCGCCCATTTCTATGGGCAGAGCAGGCGCAAAGTGTATACCAACTTGCCCGAGGGCGACGAGCAAGAAGGGTATTGCGCGTTGCTTCAACGCACCATGTATGGGACGCAAGATGCGTCTTCTGTCTGGCAGGAGACTTACACCAAGCTAATGGATGGTCATGGCATCAAGAACGGCAGTGCGTGGCCTGCGATCTTTGGTTGCAGCGAACGTGGCCTGAGGATGCTAGTCCATGGCGACGACTTCTTTGTCCTGGGTGACGACGATGGACAGAAGTTCGTAGAAGGTGTTCTCGCTGAAAAGTTCGAGTATCGGATTGATGGGTGTATCGGGCCTGAAGCTACCGACGGTACTACCCTGACGGTGCTCAACAGGATCATCGAGTACGACAAAGCCACTGGAACGGTGAAGTACGAGGCGGATCCCAGGCATGCAGAGATGGTGGTGAAAAGCCTGGGCCTGGAGACTGCCAAGCCGGTGACTACCCCGGCTGAGAAGCAGACTCTGCAGAGCGTGCTGGCAAGCATGACGATGCCCCCGCTACCTCCCGACCAAGCGTCACTCTACAGGTCGGTGGTTATGCGGGCGTCTTATCTGTCGCAAGACAGGGCAGATATAGCTGAAGCTGTTAAGACCCTGGCGCGGCGGATGCAGAGTCCAACGGAGTACGATATGTCGAGGCTAAAGCGTCTGGGAAGATATCTAAAGGGACGGCCCCGCGTCCAGATTCTTTTCAGGCCGCAGCAGATGTTTACGAAACTGCGGTGCTACGTGGACTCAGACCATGCGGGCTGTTTGGTCACGAGAAGGTCTACGAGTGGACTTATCTTGATGGCTGGGCGCCACTGCATCAAGAGTTCAAGCACGCTGCAAAGCACGATATCACTCAGCAGTGGAGAAAGCGAATACTATGCAATCGTGAAGGGAGCAGCACTCACACTGAGCATGGTTGCTCTTCTGGAGCAATGGGACCTCAAGGTTGAAGCTGTTGTCTCGTCAGACAGCTCGGCCGCACGAGGAACGTGCTCACGAAGGGGCCTCGGGAAACTGAGGCATGTACAGACTAGGTACTTGTGGGTCCAGGAACGTGTACAGCGGAAGGACATAAGTATCGAAGCCGTGGGGACTGCTCACAACGTTGCAGATGCATGTACGAAGCCACTGACGGCAGAGGTCATTGCAAAGCATATGGCTTCAATAGGTCAGGTGTTTTCTGAGGGCAAGAGTGTTGCAGCGAAGGCTGTATCATGATACGCCCTGTCGGTCGAAGACCAACGGTCGTAGGAGGGGTGTTGACATGTACAGTCTTGCATAGGCCCTACCTGACCTGGGTTTTGGCTCAAGTAAAATAGCTGCCCTGCGCGCTTTTGTGCTCCATAGGTTTTGTGCAGACATACATACACATGTATGCACATACATCTATAGACACTGGGGCTTTCGAAGTCCTCATGAAACTTTGGTTTAGTGTCTTCTCTGCAGGAACATTCTGCAGCATGCGCCGCCCAGGCAGCCTGGGCTCCAAAACCCTACGACACCAAGCCCTAAACCTATTATAGGGGCCTTAGTAATTACTAATACTATTGTGGTGGGTTTCTTAGTCTGATGATAGAAAAATATACACCAACACCCTATTCTAACCATCAAGGCCCCTATATTACCAACTCGAAACTTCCAACGCCCCATGACCCGAAGCCCCAAACCCTGAGCTGAAGCCTCTTAAACAGCCCTAATTTAGGGTGTAAGGTTTAAGGTTTAGGGTTTAGGGTCTAAACCTTAAACCCGAACTTGACATGTCCTCAACATCCCCCAAAAGGGGACTGCAACCCCATAGCCAACAGCCCCAAACCCTTCGGAGCCCTAAAGCCCTTAACCCTTTAGGGCTTTGGGGCTTAAAGGGGTGTGGGTTAAGAGTTAAGGGTGTTTGATAAAACGCTTGTAATCCTGTTTTTTCAGCCCTTACTATACCCTATACCAGCGTTTTGGAACTAAGCCCCAATTCTTTTGACCTGACCCCTGAACGTGCCTGCGACCAAAGGCGCTTCCCCTTCGTCCATGGCCAAATCCTCCACGGTGTTTTGGAGCCCGGGTGAGGTGCGACCCTTGACATAAATCGAAGCCCTAAGCCCCGATGCCCTTGACCCTAAACCCGAAACTTGACCCCCCAAAGCTGGAGACCTGACATGGTTTCGGGTTAGGATTTGGGCTTCATACGCGAATCCGAGCCCCGACCTGAAATTACTGCAAACGTGGACCTCCCTCTCTTTTGAAGCCCGTAAGGCCTAAATCAAACTCTCCCAGACTCTCGATAAACGATAAAGTCCAACCCAAAATAGAGAACCCTATACATTCCACACCTCTACACCTAGTTCTTAGATCAATAGTTTTGCTAACTAGACGCCCAATGGTCCAACGCCCGAAAACCTAAAGCTTGAATCACGAACTCCAATAATCCCAAAATCTCAAGTCCCGAGCCGAAAACATCGTTGCAACCCAAATTATGGGACACAGACCCTAATGACTCGACACGCTCAAACCCTCCAGCACACCGAATTCTCCTGGTCCAAGTGTCGGCCGTTGCAGGCTGAAAAAGTGATTCAACCCTCAAACCTGAGCGCTAAACCCTTAACCCACCAACTAAATCAACAATTTCTGCAGGTCTGAAGCATTCCCAGCCAAATCGTCAGTCAAGAGTGCTATAACCCCGCCGGTGCAAGTACCTAATTATCATACACTCTCCCAAATACAGACTATCTGTTCAACCTACGTTGCCACCATCTCAACACCGAGACCAAAGTATTGAGTCCTTTGGATCCTTGCGGTCAACTCGCAACCCTACCTAGAGTAACCAATGTACCTTCAAAACGGGTTTTGGCCCTGAACAATTGGTACAGTTACCTTGTTGAAGGTACCTTGGTTATTCTAGGTCACTCAGATAGTAACCCAGTAACCCACCTAGAGTCTCCATTGTAGATCTTTTTGGGGGGGACCAGTTTTATGGTTAGGATCCTATAATAGAGATTTTGGTTAACCAAAAAAAGGAACTCCAATCGAGACTACAGGTAAACCTCAGACCCGAAGCAGTTTCACAGGCGAGCCTCTCGCGGGACAGTCTCAACACACTCTTGCAGCCCGGGGACCGGGTTCTGAATTCTTTTATTAGGGTTTAGGGTTCTTAGCATCGGTTTAGGAGGGGTTTGAAGGATTTCAGGGTTTGAGGTTTCAGGGCTTAAAGGTTTAGGATTTTGAAGTTTAACGGTTTAATGGTTCAGTGCTTTAAGGGTTTAGGGTTCGGAGGTTTTGGGGCGTATACACGGTTTTCGGGCCCTAAATTACAAAGCGCGGGCAACTTTAAGAACCTATGTGGCTCCTTTTGTGGCTAACCATGTTTAACATTATATGACTCTAAGATACCCCAAGCATAAGATAACCTTGTTAACCAACATGGAGCATCAATGGAGTCTTCACGTAAGTTAGGATTAGGGGCCGGCTTGCATTTCGGGCGTTCGGGGTTTAGTTGCCCGATTCCGTAAGCCCTAAACCCTACACCCTAAACCGCTAAACTCTAAACCCTAAACTTAACCTCAAGGTTTAGGTCTTTGTGACGTCAGGTTGTAGGGGCTTGAATGTAGGAGTTGGGGATTGGGGTTATAGGGTTTGAGTTTAGGAGGGTAATGTCGCAAACTCATCTTTAGGCTCGAGAGACACTGGATGTAGAACTCTTTAGGGTTTAGGGTTCAGGGTATAGGGTTTAGGGCTTAGGGTTATAGATCCCATCTAGAGCCCTGATGGGCCCTTTGTAGAACCCTGTAAATGAACACCCGCAAAAAGGACAAGCTGGATGTCACAGAAGCCATGATGAAGGTCGGCGTGCTTGTTTGTGCTTTAAGGTTTAGGGAGCACGTGTAGAATCAGTTTCTCAGAAACTCCAATGTCCTTTCAATTCGGAAAATACACTAAATCATAGTAGGATCCCTAAAGTACCCCTAATATGATTTAAGGTATACTCCTTAATAAAGGGATATTAATTAGAGTCTCCCAACCCTAATAACCCTATGGATCCCTGATAGGAACCCTTAAAGGAGCCCTGAAAGGATCCCTCTACAGGGATATTGGAGTCTCTGCTTAAAGGATCATGGGACTTAATAACTGGGGTTATAAGCATGGTAAGTACAGTTACAATAACTGGGGTTATAAGCATGGTAAGTACAGTTATAATTAGTTATAACACCAATTAAGGTACTTATAACCCCACTTACTAAGTCCCATGATCCTTTAAGTAGCACTTCGATGCTCAGGCTCCAACGGGAACTATATGGGGGTTCTTCTCGGGGTCCCGGGACGGAGGTAGGGTTTTGGCTTGTTTTGTAGTGATCCCACTGTACAAGTTGTCGATGACATCTAGAAGCATGGCTTTCAGTGTTCATGTGTGCAAAAAGTATCTCCATGACAAGCACTCCTCAAACCTTTCCAGACCGATGCTCAAGCTCCGTCTGCTGGTTCCACAGCTGCACACAGGCTGGTGTACCACCAGCCTGCATAATTGGAACGGGGCTTTGACAGGGCGGATGCAAAGCTTCTTATGAGGTCTTCAAGGGACTCACTTACTGTCTCTGATGTTGATCTCCCGAAGGCTGTGAAATCTCAGCTTCTGAAACATGCACAGCAATACAAACCCCCACGCACGAAAGCCTTAAAACCGCATAGATCATAGATAAACTGAAAACTTTACAACCCAAAACTGTTCCAAGGCCTACATACAAAATTCGACACGTACATCCCAACCAAACCCCCCTGGACCTCATACTTCACAAATTTAAAAGCCTCGGCCTCGAAAGCCTCCGATGCCGAAAGCCGGTAATCTTCTGGGCTACGCTAAGTCCATGATATGGGTGGTTGTCAAAACTGGGGTCCCTTTCTGGGTCCTTATTATAATACGGCACCTAATATTTAGGGTACCCAAAAAGGGACCATAATTTTGATAACCACCCATATCATCCTCATCATCATCGTCACAATCATCATCATCATCATCAGAGCCTAGCGCATGCTCCTGAGAAGTATCTGCGAGTGTCGCGTCAGGCCGCTACCATCGGACGCGCTGCCGAGATGGGAGATGGCTGGGAGCCACCAGGCGGGATGTGGGTAGAGCGGTAGAGCATGGAAGAGCCACATGGGTAGTTCTCTAAATTAGGGTCCCCTTCGAGGTCCCCAAAAGTGCGGCACTCTTATAGCCAAAAAAAGGACCCTAATAATAGAAAACTATCCATATGAGCTCCCGCAACACGTACGTTGAAGGACCAGGCCGTCCTGTTTTGTCCTGACTCGCGGGAATGAGCTGTATGATTTTTAGGCGGGACTCTGTCAGGCAAGGTGATGTCGAAGAGTTATTGTAGGGGCTTTAACCAGTACCTATTCTATTCTGGTGGCTCCTTATCATAACTATGGCATAATATACCCCAAATTCTGTTCTATTATGTAAGGCCATTATGTATAATTCCCATGGTATCCGGACGGCATCCCAAGAAAGTCAGGCATTTGGCTGACTCCAAACCAAACTTCAAATCGAAGGCAGTAGCTGAGGTTTCGGGACCCAACAAGGACGTGAGCATGAGCAGTTTATAGGGATATTCCTACCTTACTGGGTTTGATTATAATTGGGGTTATATGGGATATTCCTTATGTGCTTTTTTGGGGGGTCCTGGAGGTGTCCAAGAACCCGCGGTTAAGGTTGACTGAGGTTTGGAATTTTGCAACCTGAAACCCTGACACCCTATTACTATAGACCCTGAAGCCTGAAGCCTAAAGCTGCAGAAACGGTTGTGTTTGGCTCTGCACTTTCCCAAAACAGACAGTCCGTCCTTAGGTTGGTTTACACATGTAGCTTTTGAGGTTCGTGTGGTACTTGGGCATCTACTACGGTGGTTCGAAGCAAGATTCCCTGTCCTCTTTTCAGAGTCATAAGACGCAACATGTATGTATGTATGTATGTATGCATGCATGTCTGTGTCTATAAGTCTATAAGTCTATGGCTACGCCTGTGTCTACGTATCTGTCGATGTTTATGTCTGTATTTATGTATGTTTATGGCTAGATATGTGTTTCTGAAGGTTTGCATATGTCTGTGTGTATGCGCGGATGTGTTTGTGTATGTGGGTATATTTGCATGCATGTAACTATACACGAACATACTCTTCCATCGCCGTATGCGGAAATCCGATGTTAACGTGCCCTCCAAAGACCGCCACAAGATG